CATTATCCCCTCCTACAGATAGTTTTTCCCGCCTTCGTGGTATAGCTCTTCGACGGCCAGATCAAAAGTGCACCCCTGCTATCACTCCTGTCCTAACTGCTACAGGTAGCGTGGCGACACCAGCTATGTCGCCATCTATGTTAGCCACAATGAATAGTGCAACCAGGGTTTTGGAAAACCTCACTGGTCACGAAGCATTTCTGGTGAGTCACATCAGTTTACTTCATTGATCCTTTTTTAATGCATGCTTATGATAAGTGTTTACCTTTTATTTTTTCAAGTTTGACATATATTTTTATACTCTTTTATTTTTTCCTTAAATTCTAACGATCGGCATCCTTTCCGTATGGAGAAATTGGTCAGTCCTTACTACACTATACGTAACCATTGATTCGAAAATGTCTTAGCTTCGCCTAAAAATGCTGTGTTTGTCTCCAAAATCCCCTCTACTTTAGTTAGTTTTTATATCTTGTAGATTTCACTTCGCTTGGAAAAGCGCATAGAAGGGATTTGTAAAACCGAAGGTGCTTTCAAGTTTTGACAGTGGGTTTGTTCGAATAGACTATCTGAGCCCCATATGAATGTGTGTTGAATTCGATTATCTCGCGTCTAAGATCAGAGTGGAAGGGAATAAAAAGAAGGGGCTTTTTGAAGTTTTGTGAAACGCGGCTTCACGCTTTGACAAAGTACGTCAGGTGACGGACGTATGTTCAGCAACGATTTATTGGGGTCACGGGATCTTGTAGTTGGGTTAATTTACGACTTCCGCCCTCCCTTCCAAACATGAATTTATTAGGAGATTTTCGAAACCCAGCTTCAATTCATTTCTATTAAGTACTCATTTTGACCTCTGCTCTTTGGTGCGACTCGATATCCATTAAAATAAGATAGGCCTATGTCAGTTGAACGGCTTTCATGTGTGCACATTGAGAACGACATGTTATCTCTACTTTTACAAATCACAATTTTTGTGTCTTTTAATTTCAGGAGTACCTGTTTTCACAGGCTTTTTGCTCAACGAAACATATCTTGAGTTTTATTTAAATCTTTTTCCCTTTTTCCACATTATATATATTTTAATTAACCCTCTATTATTTCAGATTCAGTTAGCCTCCTTCCGATCGCAAGAAGTCCTAATGAGCCTTCTCGCAGCCGTTGAGGCTGTACTTTCCACTACCTCAATCACAGCGTCTGCACATGTTTCTTCGTCCTCCGTGCCATCGGCTTCTAGCAATACAGCTAATCTATCTTATCAAAGCCCAAGCTGTTCGGGCATAAATGTTGCAACTAATGCTGCTATTACCGGGACTGGAGACACACTATCAATACTCAGTCTTGCTCCGGCCTGTCTACTTCTGGACGCCCTTGCCGCGTCTTGCAAACTTGCCTGTTTCAGAACCTGTCTCATTAAGCGGACTCAATTACTTCAAGGACTCACGGACGCATTGCATCGACATGTTGATCTTCTCTCTGAACCTAGGTTCTATTTCTATATATTGTTATTATAGTTATTGTTATAGTTATTGTTATTTATTTACACACACTAAACTATGACTAGATTCGGTCTTGTCTGATCATTGCTGTTTCTTTAAAACACTTTCGGTTTTGCTGATCAGTATGGAAATGACCCTGAAAACATTCCTATCAGTATTCTGATTCAAGACCCTTGTTAATATATGATAGATTGTAAATTCTATGAAGGCTAGGTTTAAGGCACTAGATAGCTTCAAAAAACACAGCAAAAGTTCTTCAACGTTTTATCTTTAGTCTTTATAATAGCATTGCTGCCTGTATTTCGACGGTTTATACCGAAAATGGGAATGAATGACAAGGTAGAAGCTATAATAATGAGATCTGTGGTTGGGAATCTATATGAGGCAGAAGATGAAGAAGGTTTGGTATCTGTGGCGCAAAAATGTTAGTGTTTATCAAAGTTTGTGTGCGCAGAAGCTAAGTTATGTCCTGCTTAGAGACGCAATGCTTAACTGCTGTGTTAGCTCTATAACATTCCGGACAAAGCAGTATACACTTCAATCCCAACCCAGATGGCAGATAAGGCGAAAGATTAGAGAAAACGAAATGGAAGAATGCATGGCATTCTGCTGGACTCTTTACTTAAAGCAAAAAATATAATGAACTAAGGAAAGTAAATATAATTTCTCCAAAACTTTATGATAATGTTCATCTTCTTATGTTGGAAATACGTGATTTGAGGAGGGGCGGAACGGGACAGTTTTGATGGTGCTTATTATTCATGTCTTTATTGGAGATGCCCAAGACCCAGAAGCCGATACTGCTGGATAGTAGGAGGATCTCCTGGCTCTCACAGATTCTGGCACTGGCCTTTCTCAGTCGCAGAGATATTGTCTTGAGGAAACCCATCCAAACTATAAGCTCCTCATTGAATACTTTCGAGGAAGGGTTGAGCTGGTTTTGGGTTCATGAGGTGGTGCCTAGGGAATTTAATGCTAGTTTTAGCCATGTTTAGTATATTATCCAAGTCTTCAAATAAAAATTAAGGTTGTGCTGCATCCAATTGGCTCCTTTTCCCTTGAATTTAAATCTACTCAAGGTTACTTTGTGAGATACCACATTTTCTCCAATTTGGTTATGTTGATTTATCATGTCTCAGAAATTCGGAAACAGCTCGAGGAGAAATGTATAGTTAGGGGACAGTTCCTATATCGTTTCAACAGCATGAGTTATTTGCAGTGTGACTCAAAAATGTTTTCTATCTTGCATCACCTATTTTTAGCATACAAATTGATTTAACGATGGAAATGCGGAGCTGAAGAGGCTAAACCTCGCTAATCAATTCTAAAATTTTTTCCTGCAAGTTCAATTTTGTAATAACTTGAATTATCTTGAGTTTGGTGAATGATTAAATGTATAATATAGCCATATCTTATAATCGATCAGATGAAATACTTCGAATGGCATCTGTGCTTGCTTTTAAGACGACTAATAATCAGTTGTTCGTTTTTATATGTAGGTTTTCAAGACTTCCTTTAAATTAACATCTGCCCTGTGACCCAAGGGTATTCGTATCAATGTGGCGTAGTGGTTAATTTGTCGATAGTATACTCTGCAATGGTATGGTTTGAATTCCGCTGGAGGTGCTGATTATGCCTGTTCAGAAGAGGCCGAAACTGCATTCCACTTTAAGTGAGAATACCTTTTTTAGGAAAGCAAGGCTATCTAAAATTCGATGTAAATGTAAGGTCTTCTCTTATTATTGTGGGATAATTCGACTACTCGTCCCCTTATTACCTTAAACGAAATAGATTGAATACACCTTATAGAAAATATGGTTATATGGGATTCCCAAAAAAAGATGTACTGCCGAAAATAAACAGCCTGACTATTCTCACAATTCATACATTTTGGCTTCGTTTATATAAATATATATATGTTTACGAAGCGCTAGATCATAAATTCAAGAAACCCTTACCTAATTATATATCCTTGATCTGTTTCTTACATTTAAATATAAGATTATTCTTTTGGATCCCCTTATTTTTTTCCATAGAATTTATTATTTGTTGCTTTATTCTTCCCTTTTTTCCCTTAATATTTTCAGCCACTCACAGCTAATTGCCAGCATATGTTGTTTATTGCACAACATGTTTGTTGGCGATTTCCATGTCGTCCATAGCCTTTTGAAGCCCTCCTCAGAATTTAGTACTTACTCTACTCACATAGTACCGGATTCCGTCTCCGAGGCTAATTGTGCTCAAGAGTGTCCCTCGAAGTTAATTGATCGCCTTCTTTCCGGCATTGGTCGCATTCTCGATCAGCCCGGTCATGGACCCGAGCTTAGAGCAATCACTGTCTCGCTAGCGGGTCATCTCTTGCCTCACTGCGACCGCGAACAGGTTTGCTCCCGGTGTTTCGCTCTTTGTATTAATTATTTTTAACGATCTCTATTTTGGCATTTTTAATAATTTGTATATCTATATTCCAGTTTAGCTATTGTAAACTATGCCTCATTGGAACTGCAATCTGAAGTCATATGTGCTAGTGAAACGTTTTTGTCCTTAATTTTGATAAAACCATATTCGTAAAAAATTTCAGATAAGTGTAAGACCGTTTTGCTCCACATTTCCGCCTTGTGATCTTCGAGTCAGCGATTTGCTCTGAGTAATTCCTGGGTGCCTCGAACCTGCTAAATGGCAATATCCGACTCCAGGTCGACCATTATATCTTTGATAAAAGAATGCAGGCATTATAACGGTGCAGGATACAAGTGTGCGAGTTGGAAAATGCCTAATCCTACTTCTAATCAGTGTATTAATTAAGGTCCTTATTAGATAAGCATTATATATACAAATGATCCAAACAGGGCTATGCGTCGATTTTAACAGTATTATAGATAATGGATATCTCTTGCTTGCGGATAGATGATGTTGCTAAATTCCACGGCAAAAACAAGTGTCCTCTAGTTCGTCATCCATTCAAAGAGCCATTCTACCTTCATAAATCCATTTATATATTAATGTGAACGCTGCCATTATAACATTTAATATATTAATTGTTCTCAAATCATTTCAAATTACTTTACGCTGTTTGGGATTAGACAATGTTTTATAGATAATTTTTTCCCGTCTACCTTTCATCACTTTGGTGACACCCTCTTTCCATTCTCATCAACGATAGCTGACAGAATGGTGTGGAGTTATCGATACTGAGCCTCCCAACTCGTTGGATCCTTGCTACACATCTTCCTCTGATCCTCCATCTTCCCAAAACTCTGCGCCACCACCTTCTCCCAACATGCTCCAGGCACGAGCTCGCCTCCTCCTTGCAATCCTCGATTCCTGCTCCACTCCCTTTGCTTTCGGTCGTTCTACTTCTGTCGTCCAGGAGACTAAGGCCATTACCAAGGTGGATACGCCTCTTAAATCCGTTGTCGCTGATAATCGCTTCTCCGGTAATTCATTCCTTGAAGACGCAAAACCAATTGCTCCCGAGCTAACTGCAGACTGCCAACTTTCAAGTCACTTACTTTCAGGCTGCTTACGCTGTCTGGCTGTCTGCACGCCCTACTGCCTCAGTCTGCGCTATGCTATCGGAGACTCGCGCAGGCGTGTTCATCGCTTAGCGCGTCTTCTTCGAGCCCGGCTGCCTCCGGCTGACAATGCTAATATTAATGCATCCCCTTCTCTGAATATAACGCAACCAAGGGATGAGCTGCTGGCTGGCAATGCTTGTCTGGTTCTCCAGCAGTGTGTTGCTGACACACCGATGGCTGAACATTTAGTAGGTAGTCCCGTAATGCTCGATTTGCTCTCCTTGATGCAGGAGGCTACTCGTGTGGACGCCCGCCGGAACGCTGCCATCCTTGCCAGCAAATTGGCCCAGGCAAATCAAGAACATCGAGACCATTTGTCCCATTTAGATGGCTTTAGTGTTCTGGCCAAATTTAATAATTGGGGTTCGCATACTGGCCGTCATGATGACAATTACCATCAACAACAGCAACAAGACAGCTCACTCATGTCAATGATGATGGCACATAAGTTAAATAAGGCCAGGTTTGGTTGGGCCGGCTTTTGAGATCGTCTTTACAACTGAAAAATCTCTATCTTAATCTTTCTCCTGGATTACTTACAGCTTGAAAATGTTACTTGATCTCTAAATAGGCTTCTGAATTCCCCCCTTTTTCTCTATGGACCGTTGTAACTATTATAGTGGGATTTTCACATAAAATGCATTCACTTATTCATTAATATTATCTGTTTCTTACAACTATCTTTCTATCTTCCCTCTGTCCAAAGTGAAATTCAATCCCTTACTGTATTTGCTATCCTATTGAACGCTGTCTTAAATCGCTGTGTGAACCAGCTGTTTGTTTGTCTTTATTTTTGCTTGCATCTATTCTTCTCCATCTACCTTTCATTTAACTTTTTTAATATTTGATACTCCTGTTATCTCTATTGCTATCACCGGCACCGAATTTATCTGTGCTTCTGATACTGAATATTGTCATATTCATAATCCAAGCTGGCTGATCCTTTTCTCCCTTCATTACTCCGTGATTTCTTTTCTCAATATTTTTTCTTTTATTATCTGCCAAGACATGGTTTCGTTTGCCTCTAAATGTTCTAATAAATACATAGCTCTTTTGGGCACTATTGTGGCGAATATCACATTAAAAAAGCTGCTAGGGATCCAGCGACACTCCAACTTGCCAAACATAATGACGTAGCTGATGGTAACGATGATTATGTTGATACACTCCTCTACACTGTGATTATTGCATTAAAATATGCCTTCTAAGCACAGCTGTTCCTAAACACTTCTTATATCTTCCTTTTTATTGCATCATTAATTTTGTTAACTATCACAATTCACTGTCCTTATCAGAAATTTCATGTCTGCTTCACAGGCTAATAAGTCAGGTTTGTCTCTTAAATTCTATCAATTCCATCCATCTTTCATCTAGCTCTTCTTTC